CTCTCCCATCCTACAAAATACTCCCACAGACTCAGCTTCACCCAAAAAAGCATACAGCATTGAGGTGTCAGATGCCTGCGCTCAAAGTGCAATAGCCTACGCCCGCACTTACTACTGCTTCATTCATGAATTTGTTCCACATTTCTCAGTGACCAAAAGACCTGGGCCATCAAAAATGAGTTTCCCCCAAACCCAGCCCCTTTTCATGGTTTGAGACAGGCTTCAGCAGCAGCAGCTGAAAACACTGCATCTTAAAACAAAGCTTTTGCCCTAAGAATTTTACAGAAAGAATTTGGATTCAACTATAGTAAAAAGTATGTGCAGCTCTTAACTACAGAAACTCACAAGAGACCACAGTGTCATAACTTTGAAAACTGTACTGAGTGGGAGAAAAAATTGCTGAAATGGGCCCTTCATAATAATTTGCTATATATCCTATGCTTCATCAAGTTCAGGGGCTGAATAGAGTCCAGTTAAAAAATATGGATCTAAGAAGTGACTATTGCCTTGCTGCTCTTGCTCTTACATGAAAAATAAATCTATGCAATAACGTAAAGATTCCCCACCATTCTACTGTTTCCCTTCTAGAGCTCTATAACCAAAGGAGGTAGTTATTTCCATTTTCAAGGTATTTTTCAATGGAAGAGTAGCAAGCCATCTGTCTCCATAAGCAAAAAATGAGCTGCTATTTAAATATGCAAGTAGAATATGCTCCAAGTGAAACCATGGCCATTCAAGGATAACCCTGGATGTTGTGTTTTTTCCCCCACTAGAAACCAGACTTCCAGCACAAAAGCAGGATCTATAGTGAAGTTACCCCACCAGGTTTTGGTGTTATACTGGCCACATCAATTTATTCTGAGAAACACAGCCACTCACCTGTGCCCATTTTTTGTTACTGTTCTGCATCTGAATAGCTGCAATACAACTAAAAAGTTTTTCTGATGTGATATCTTCAGGCAGTTTTGTTAGAAACTGTGCTATATGAATGAAGTCCATTTGTAGGAGGATATCTTCATATAATCGAAGGATTCCTAACCCTGTCCTAAACAAAAATTCTTCTCCGTCTCTACAAAAGACGTCCCAGACTCGACAGGCCAGATCAAGTGGTAGTGATTTACTGTAGAGAGTGAAGATCCTAGAATTTTGAAAAGGTTTACTGGTTAGTGGTATTGCATCTGCTTTGGAAATACATTTTAAAATCTAGTCTCAACTTTTAGCTGTAAGTTATCAAGTGACAAGTCAGTATTCACTTTCAAAAGCATACACCATTTAGGGTTTATTACCATTAATAATTTATTTCAAACTGCTACAGTTTTAAAGCTTAGCATATCCCAGGGCTTTTTGAAGGTCCCTGAAAAATCACCCAGTTCCAATCATGAGTGGGTGAGCAAGGGCTAATTAGTACATGGCTCCTTTGTGTGGGGGGGGGTGGGGAGGACAGGGGATGTAATCTGGAATAAATATACACAGTGAACACAGCTGAGCTGTGGGGTCACTGTGCCTTGAAATGCTGTTGACTGATGGGGCCCAGCTCAATGAACTGATAAATCATAAGCCTTCGGCTTTGGACTAAATACCATGCATAGTTTGTACTATATTTAAGTAGGTGTCAAAGTACTGCTCAAAAGTGTGCTTATGGAGTAGCTGTGCTAAAACTTGCAGCAGTTTTTGGTTTTTTTTTTTGAAACTGCTGCAGGTTTTGGCTCTGTTAAAGACAAAAATATTGAGTTGATGTGCAATGAGTAGCTGTAATTTTGATGCATTTTAGAAAGCTGTTCCCTTGACACATGTTCATGGAATTTTTGGTTGGTTTTGGAGATTCCTGAATCCTTGATGACTCACTTCAGTAAAATGCTTTTTTTTTTAAAAAACAGTTGCCTGAATGGGGTCATTGTAATTGATGTGTATTGGGACCTAGGAACACAATCCTGCATCAAGTAGTTTCCCTTCCTCTGTCCCATAGTCTAGCAACCATAGGGATGACTTGTGCTCTCTAGTTCTCCATTATGCTCTGGCTTCCATATCAGCATATAGTGTCTTTATTTCCCAGCATTCTGTTCTGTTATCTCTCCATTTTCTTGTACAGTCTGCCTCTGCCTTTTGCTTTTGATAGGGCTGAAGAGCCTGGTCTTTAGTAGACAGTTATCTTTCATCCAAGATGGAGGATCCTTCTTATGGTTGCACAAGTGATTCTTTTCAATCAATTTTGTGCTAATATTGCTTGTGATGTTGTCTTGCCAGCTGACTGCAATCAGTGCCCTACAGTTCATTTCAAAGGCAAGCAACCTGAATGGATTCCGATTACTGTATTTACTTGATTAGAAGACAACCGTGATAAGATGACCCCCAATTATTAATTAGATTCTATATATGGAGATTTGTTTTAATTTTTCCAGGGATATAATCTAGTTATTGGAGGTTTGCCTTGAATTTGTCCCCTTCCCGTTGCTACAGTAGGAAAAATAAATCTGGGTAAAGAGGGGAGTCAGGTAGCCCCTTTACTCTCTGCTCCCCCACCCCCCAACTTTTTCTGCTGGCAACCCCTTCCCTCTCTCCTTACTATCAGACCCTGCTTCCACTGAGCACATACAAGTAAAGAACAAAATTCTAAAACAATATCCTTGAAATTAAATATGGCTACAGCAATTTGCATATAGCTCATCCAGAATTGGTGCATGTTACCAACTTACCAGTCTATCAAGTATATGTCTGGAGTTAGATTGTATGATTTGAAATGAAGAAACAGTTTAGGGAGATTTTCTTCAAAGAAAACTTCAAAAGCTGCAAAATATTTCAGCATCTGTACAGGGAAACATAAATGCTTACTAAAAAGTGACCTCCAGCAGAATAAAAATTATCAATAAAATGAAAGCTTAACCTTCCAACATAGCCACATAGATCCAAAGAACAAACTTACTTTGGCTTTTTCGTCAAGAAAAAGTTTTTTGTTTGTTTGTTTGTTTTTTTATGTCTTAGGTAATTAAATGCACTAATTTGATTTTCTACCCATAGGTTTAAATAATCCGTTATTCCAAAGAAGCACTAGCAGATCACCAATTTCATGAATATGTTCCAAATCATGGAAGAAAGTTTCAATGAAGAAAATATTAAAATATTTTAGAAACTGTACACATACCATGCTGTGATCCACACGGAAGAAGGCTAGCTGGCATGGCTTGTTCAGGAGGTTAGCAAAGGCAATGAAAGCATCTGCCTCTTCCAGATTGAGAATGAGTACGGCAGCAATGAAAGACATCCCTTGTACCTTAGGTGGGGGGAAGCAAATAAGCACACAAGATAGAGTAGCCAGGCACCTCTTAGATGTTTGTAAATACAAATATTTCTGAACTCCTAAATGTTGTTAAAAACCACTAGAGTTACAAGAGCAATTAGACTAAGTAAAAGAAACATTTAATATTAAGAGAGCAATAAATTTACAAGATTCTTTATCTATCTACCAAAAAACACCAGCAATATCATTTCCAAGAAAAAAAAAAAAAAAATCAGGCACTTTCTGAAGATGCAAGTTGTGGACATCTGATATGGAGTTCCATGAAGAGCTGGACTCTAGCAGGTCCTGTGTAATCAAAAGGTGGTCTAAGATTTGCAATGCCGAGACCCTTTAGCCGGTGAGGGTAAGAGAATCACAAGGAAAAATTTTCATACGCAGCTAATCACAGTAGAATGGAGGCAATACCTCAGTAAACTGAGACAATCCCATTAACCAACAGTACTTGGGGTCACATGTATCCTACCCCATCTATCTACTAAGAAATTAGTTGCATTTAAAACTTCATACACTTGTTCTTAGGGGTGCACCAATAGAGATTTTTGGGGCCAATACCAACAGCCAATTTTTAAGGAGGCTTATTGGCCGATACCAATCTGATTTCTGAGGCACAGCCCAGCAGCTTGAAGAACAGTGTCCGGCTGGTAAGTCTGTTGTGGTGGAAGGAGCGGGGGAACAGGGAAGAGGCCCCTGCGGTGAGGGAGGGAATGGGGGTGGGGCAGGGACAGGAGCTGCCTAGCTGGGGCAAGGCGAGCGTGGGAGAAGCCACAGCTTGTCCAGGGAGTGCAAGGAAGGTGGGCCGGCTCTCACTGCTGTGGGCTGAGGCTGCAGCCACCCCAAAATTCGCTGTAGCCCCACCTCCCAGCACTGCCATCACCCACCCCAAGCACAGCTTGGCCCAACCCCCCCACTGGAAAGAGCTTAGCACAGCCCCAGCCCGCCCCACGTCGATCTGGGGAGCACACACCTTCCCCTCCCCTCCCCTCCTTGACCTCTTCAGGTGTGCACAGCAGCGGGATCTACCCCCCCTCCCAGACAAGCTGCATCTCCATCCTTGCATCCCACCCCAGCTGGGCAGCACATGCCCCAGCCCCATTTCCTCCCTCACTGTGGGGGCTCTGATCTGCCCCCGCTTCTACACAGCCCTTCCCTCCCCCCTCCCACCCACCACAGCAGACTTACCAGCTGCATACAGCTCTCCAAGCTGCTGGGCTGTGCTCCTGATTGCCTACGTGCTGCTCTGTGGCTTAGCGCATGCACAGTCCATTTATTGGCCACATTAGCCAATTTCCAATCAGCCAATTTTCTTTATAATCAGTGCCGGTCCAGTATCGGACTGATGCATTGGTGCACCTTTACTTTTTCTATTTCTGATGACTAGTTTTAAATTTCCAGAAAGCAGCAACACTACAGAATATTAATGAGGTTGATTGTTGATAATGCCTAACAACTTCTGATTTGAAATTATTTTAATGACATGAGAACAAGTGTGCGTTTAGCTGCAACAAAGATTATAGCATTCATTTCTAAAGGTACTTATCAGGTTGGCTTTTGCCCACAGTTAAAAAAACATGAATATTTAAACCAACTAGGAAAGATAATATCACATACGCCAAGTCCAATTTTTCCACTTGAGGAATAAACTGTGAGATTACAAACAACGCTTTAGCACTGTTACTAATATTAGTGCAAAGCATGGCCAAAAGCAGCCAGCCAGGCTGACTGACTGGATTCCAATAAGAACAAATTCCAAAGCAAAGGGACTAAGAAGCATTCATTTGCCTTTTAAGAATTCCACTTCTGCAGTTTGTAACTCCAATGAACAAGTCACCTGAAAAATGGGATCTGGATAATTTACAGTTAAAAGTTGAAACCATGTTGAACATCATCCAAGTTCAGACCGGACAGCTAATGCAGAGCCCCAAGCAAGTGCACTGAATGCTAAGTGTTGTTTTGATGGTTTTGAAGGGCAGTCCATTGGAAAAAGCTGGAAAGTATGGACATACATTTATCATGGGTAAAAAGCAGCAGGGCTTTACCGTACATCAAATGTTCCACAATAGCTGAGTACATGCATGCTCGTAACCCTGTAGGAAGTGGAAGTGGTAATTTAAGCCAAGAACAGGCATTCATTTCTAGTGCTGCAAGTTTCTGGGACAAAGGTGGGGGGGGGAGGGAGGGACGGGCACATGACATAGATGTTCCAGTCTGCAGCTGCCCTGTTCCTTGCTCCCCACATGCTCCTAGCCCAGGTGACCATGGACAGATAAAGGCAGGGGACCAGGTGCTGCTCACTCCTCCTGATCCCTGGAAGTAGCTGACCAGCCTCTGGTTCCCCAGGTTTCCCACACTAACGTCACCTCACTCCAGGGAAGATGCAAGGAACCTTTCCCTGGCATGCCACTCCACTCCCAGTCCAAGGCAAGCAGAGCAGCAAGTGTTCCCCAGACTTCCCAGATTTGGCTGAACCTAATCTAGTGAAGCACAGGGTACCTTCCCTTTCTGCTCCACTCCTTATGGCCCCAGAGAAGAATAAAGCAGCTGCTGCTCCTCCCACCTCCCCAGCCTGGATTTAGTCCTCTTGGTGCCTGGGAGGAGTGGAGCAGTTGCTGTTCCCTCTGTTTCCCGGACAAGGGTCATCCCTGGTCAGGAGATTACAAGGGAGCATTTTTCCCCGCTTTATTCCTGGTCTCTAAGGTACAAGCACTCCTTCCTGTTCAAGGTTCTTCGGGTAAATCCAATATCTTTTATTAGACTAACTGAAATAGTTGGAAAAATTCTTCTTAGAAAACATGTGGGCACAAACACCCTTTGTCAGGCTGAGGAAGCATCTGCAGATGGTTTGTGCTATTCTTGGATGGAGTGGTAAAGCAGCCAGAGGCCAGTACACATGCAAGAAAGCCAGTCAGTTAAAATGTAAATTGAGGTGGTCAGTAGGTGAGAGAAAGCAAAGGGGGGGGGGAGGAAGGAAGGGAGAGTGAAAGTAGCTA